GTCTGTTTGTGATTAAAGAACTCTACTTTTTGTTAGTTACTAACTGTTTATGCATACCGTTAATAATAATGGCTCTTCGTTGAGTTTCTTGCTTACTTGAATTCTCTAGAACCACTGAGTTAGGCTTAATTTAACATAGTTAGGGTTAAAAAAATTCTTACTTGTAATCTTTAAAAGAACCTGATCTCTGTCCATGAAGTTGTGCTGGGTCTTAAGATTTTGCAATGTTAATGTATTGGGTATTTGAACAATTTCAGGCAGTATTTTGAGATTGTTTATGTAATTTTGTGTAAAAATCCAGGGGATCAAAAGAACAACAACAAGGGCAGTCTCCAGAAGCGTCTGCAACACTGTGGTATTCGCCATCTCTGGTCACATCGCCTAGCTCATCTCGGTCTCAAACATCAGGGCAGACTCCGCCACATGTTTCACCAGGGGAAGCCGCCGGCATTATTGCCATTTTAAAAGACAAAAGGTTAGCTTTCAAATTTCTTTAAATCTTTTTGTTTGCCTCTTTTGTGCAAAATTTTTATGTATGTGTATATATATATGATCATTTGTCTTGTGTCACACATTTCTTATGTTCTTCAATATGACTTTATGGCCTTCTAGGCTTGAGAGAGTTTAGGTTATTGGTAGTTTCAATATTTTGGAAATTCTTCTCTGTGATTTTGTGTTGTGTTGCTAATTTAAAGGGAATCGATTTCTATACTTGTCAGCTCAGTATTGTGGTCTTGTATGCTTACTTTTGTTACCTTTGCTCTAGTGTGGATGAGCTCAGGAAGCTTCTGTCTGACAAGGATGCGTATCAACAGTTTTTACACTCGCTTGACCAGGTCACTATTCAAGACAATGTAAGTCAGAAACATGAAGTAATAATCATCATTTGTCTTAAGAAATGTAGCTTCTTCACTGATTAAGTTTTTGAGATGATAAATCCGTGCTTTTTCTTTATGTTCATCAGATAAGAGAAGAGCTTCGCAAAGAAACTTTGCATCTAGCCAGTGAGTTCTCGTAACTTTATCTAACAACGAGAATTCTATTTTAAACCGACGATCTAAAACAGTCAATGCTAATATAACAGGAGAAAACTTGGAGAAGGAACCACAGATAGTGGAGCTCAGAAACCAAGTGGGTATACTATTTATATTTGACTCTGTTAATTGAGTATGAAACTTCTCACCATCTGTATAATCTTTTTTTTAACAGTGCAGAATAATCCGTACATCCGAGCTTGCGACTGCTCAAGAGAGGCTCAATGAGCTTGAGTATCAAAGAGAAGAGATCCTCAAATTCTACTCTCCAGGTTCTCTTCTTCATAGACTTCAAGGTAAAAACATTAGTTCCTTCACTCAATATCCTTCATGTGTAACAACAAAATGATACACGTCGGTTTCTAATACACAATCCCGGTTTGTTCATCACAGATGCTATGAACAAGGTCGATGAAGAATCCGAGGAGCTGCAACAGAAGTTCATGGAGAAGGATATTGACACAGCTGCATTTGTGCAGAAATACAAAAAGCTAAGAAGCAAGTATCATCGACGGGCTTTGATTCACCTCGCTGCTAAAACTTCATCTATCGGTTGAGAAAACGAAGCTTTTTTTGTTTGTTTTCCTTATGTGTAAGTAAACAAAAATGGTTCAAAGTCGAGATCTATATACGAGATCAATATATCATTGTATTATTTACAGAATCATGTTATGCTCTATGAATCTGAATCTTCTAATGTTCTTTCTGATTTTGAATCTTTTCTCTTTTGTTTACTGGTTCTTCCTGGTTTGGGTGTGAAAAACAACAAATGCACAATTATGTTCAGAGTCTGACGTGGAATGTGTTCAACAATTTTGTCTTCGTTTAGGAAGCTAACACCACAATTTACCAAGCCTCATTCTTTGACGTGTCCTTTTGGATCATGAAGACTAGCACGACTCACCTACAAGTCAATTTTAAATAATAAGTAAACCATATCTTAACTAACTCATTCATATAATTTTCTGGTAAGTACTCGAAGGTGGTCTTACGAGTGGTGACTAATTTAATATTAAGCCTCACTAACCTGAAAACTGCTCAGAAAATTTGTCTAAAGATTTGCGTATAAGAAACTTGATTTCTCACAATAAATAATAGCGAAAATATACAATTTGGTTGCTCCAAAGTCCAAACATCCCTCATCTAAGAAAATTTCCCGGTTTACATGCTCAATTTTATAATATCATATTCTTCTTCTTTTATCTGATTGAGAAAATTAAGTAAAGAGAAGGAAGATAAAGGAAACTAGATCATCACCCGTACTATAGTACGGGTTGAATTTCATTTATTACAAAATTAATAAATTTTATGTTTTAGAATAACGTTGTGATATATTATAATAGTAAGTGAAAAATAATATTTTTTTGTCAGTCCCTATATATAATATTAGAATGAATATATTTTCCTTTTTCTATAGTATTCAATTATGGATATTTTTTTTAAAGATATGAAAACGGAAAATAAGATTATTTTATAAAAAAATTAATATTGTTTGAACAATGAGTTAATTTATGTTAACAACCACAAAATGAGAGTGCATATAATTTAGTTAGATCAAAAATCAAAATATCATAAATGAATCGCATCTAAAACGTAGATTATTTTGAATTACTTAAAAAAATTAGCTATTATTTTGAATTAATTTAGGAAATTATTTTTTCAAATTCTGATTCATTGGTTGTTGAAATAGAGATTTGTTTGAGCTAATTACGGAATTTACCAATTATTCACATAATCAAATATGTTATGAACATATATTTGGTATATAATAATACCAAATTCAATCCGTGTGTGGAGTCTATATTTTCATTTTACAATCCCTATGAAAATATTGCGGCACAATCTATTATTTATTATTTTCAAAATTGCTTGCAGAATCAAATTTTCAAATATTTAGAAGTGTCAAACCTTATTTAACCCATCTCATCATAAAATCTTAAAATGCCGTCTGTTATAAGGATCATAACTTTCTACCATATATTACATTACATTTAACCCGCCGCCTACTATAAATATTTTAAACATATCTTTTTAGAAAATCAAATTAATGTATTTATAATTTTTTTTTATCTTTTTAATCTATTAAATATTTATGATATTCTTTAATATATAAAATTAAAAAATTTTAAAATGTTCCAAATTAAAATCCTTAAAATTTTTATTGTAGTATGTAAAATTATGAATTAAAAAAAAATGATATGAAATTAAATATAAATATTCAAATAGTTATAAGGATCATAGCTCATTTTATCATATAATATATTATATTCAACCCGTCGCCTATTATAAATATTTGCTTCAAAAATCAAATTAGAGTATTTATACTTCATAAATTTTTGATCTATTAAGTATTGATCATATTAAAAAAAGGAATATATTACTCAAATATGAATTTTTGACCCGTTAAATTTGTTCTTTCATACATTGAATAATTTATATTCGTTTTTAAAAATTTAAATCTTGGTATATGCGGAAAAAAATTTACTTTTTTTTTATTATATAGATGATATAATGATTTATTTATTTATAGAAATAGAATCATATAAAGATGAGAGGTGAAGTATAATAATTAATAGGGAGACTCACAAAAATGCCCCTTTTTCAATACCCCTTTTCAAAAATGCCCCCTTTGGCTGTCCATTTTTAAAAATACCCCTTTTTATGTACAAAATGACTAAATTACCCTTCTTTTAATAAAATATATCACAAATATATAAGGAAATATAACAAAATTAGGTCCACAAAATACAAAATATTTTTTTGCTGAAAAAGTGATCCCGCAATTTTTCCCGCCAAAACACTTGTAAAAACTTATAAAAACCTTTAAAATACCTTGTAAAATTTTCCCGTAAAATTTTTTCCCGCCAAAAAATTTTCCCGCCAAAAATTTTTTTTTGCGGGAAAAGTGATTCCGCAATTTTTTTGGCGTTAAATTTTTGGCGGGAAAAATTTACAAGGTATTTTAAAGGTTTTTTACAGGGTATTTATAAGGTTTTACAATGTATTTTAAAAGGTTTTACAACGTATTTATAAGGTATTTATAAGATATTATAAGATTTTACAAGCAATTTTATAAGGTTTTACAAGTTATAAGGTTTTACAAGTTTTTTATAAGGTTTTACAAGTTATAAATACCTTATAAAACCTTATAAGTACCTTGTAAAACCTTTTAAAATACATTGTAAAACCTTACAAAACACTTGTAAATACTCTGTAAAACCTTTAAAAAACCTTGTAAATTTTTCCCGCCAAAAAAATTGCGGAATCACTTTTCCCGCAAAAAAAATTTTTTGGCGGGAAAAATTTTTACGGGAAAATTTTACAAGGTATTTTAAAGGTTTTTTACAAGTGTTTTGGCGGGAAAATTGCGGGATCACTTTTCCCGCCAAAAAATATTTTGTATTTTGTGGACCTAATTTTGTTTCAAATAAGGGTAAAATGGTCATTAAAAAATAAAAGAGGGCAAACTTAAAAATGGACTCTCAAAGGGGGCATTTTTGAAAAGGGGTATTGAAAAAGGGGCATTTTTAACAATTTCTCTAATTAATAACAAATTAATATGGTAAGTTAGATATCAAATCTTATATGTTCATTTTGATTGGTCATTCTTTTTAAAGAAATTAATAATAGATTTTCGTTTTTATAATTAAATTAAATTAATTAAATTACACAAAATAGTATTTGACTTGTTTATCCTTAATGAGTTGAATTAATTTACTCTATAAAATTTTATTTCTAATGGCATTCTTAAGTCATTTTTTACAAAAGGAAATGTTAGTTAAGGGTATCTTATAAAGTGTACTCCCCAAATAATAGTATAGGATACGTAAAAGCCTCTATACGACAAAGAACCATATACCAATCGTTAATTTATAAAATAGTAAAACCAAACCAAAACCGAACCAAACCAAACAAAACCGAAATCAATAATTTGAGTATATAATTTCCTTAATCCCCACTATCTCCGCTAAAAACATTTGAGAACGTCTCTCTCTCTGACAGTTCTTTTTGTTTTTCTGTCTCTTTCTCTGCTCGATGCGAAGAATCGAGCATTTGTGTCGCTCTTTGTAACGTCTGTCTATATCGGGAATATTATCAGAATCTCAACGAGCTGCTTGAATGCGTATCTTTCGTTCCCTGATGTTGGCGGTGGCGTTAGCGGTGGCTTTGGCCGTTACTGAGCTCACAGCATCGCCGTTACCTTCGGTCTATGCGAAATACGCAGCTGGTCCGGCCAAGATTCTTCCTTTAGAAAGGGCTTTTCCACTAGACGAGCCAGTGGAGCTGAGTGAACTTAGAGCGCGTGATCGTGTCAGACACGCGCGAATCTTACTCGGCGGTGGTCGTCAGAGCTCTGTTGGCGGCGTCGTCGACTTCCCAGTTCAAGGCTCTTCCGATCCTTACCTTGTCGGGTAAATCATTCGTCTTGGAATGTTTCTTTTTTTTTTTTTTAATTTCTTGTTTCAAGCAGAATCAGAAATGTCTTTCCTTTTTTTTCCATAATTGGATTGATTTGAGATCGTTTTCATGAAATTCTCTGATGAAATTGAAAGATTTAGGGTTTCAAAGTTTTTATTATGTTTTCTTTTTTTTTGTTCCTTTAGCCTTTGGCTTTATCTTGAGCCCTGTGCTTTAGAAATGTTTTGAATTGGGAAAAACAAAGTAGATTTTGAAATGCTATCATTACGGAGAGATCTTATTGAGTTTGTCTCTTTTCTTTTTTCTTTTGTTGCAGCTCCAAGACGACTATGTATGTCACATTTGCACACTCTGTTATTGGAGTTCTAATGGGTTTTATCAGCTTTGTTTTTTTTTTGTGGACAAATCTTCTCTTTTGTGATATGTATCTATTTTCTGTTTCTTGGTAGGCTTTATTTCACAAAGGTCAAATTAGGTTCTCCTCCTACAGAATTCAATGTTCAGATTGATACTGGAAGTGACATCTTGTGGGTTACTTGTAGTTCTTGCAGTAATTGCCCTCACTCTAGTGGACTTGGAGTAAGTAGCTTTGTCTTAGTTTTTTTTTACTTTATAGTGGGATTAGCAATAGAGAAATGTGAAGGGCTTATCCTTTTTCTTTTTCAAATTCATTTCAGATCGACCTCCATTTCTTTGATGCTCCTGGTTCCTTGACTGCTGGCTCTGTTACTTGTTCAGATCCGATTTGTTCTTCAGTTTTTCAGACAACTGCTGCACAGTGTTCTGAGAATAACCAGTGCGGTTACTCCTTTCGCTATGGCGATGGAAGTGGGACTTCAGGTTACTACATGACTGACACGTTCTATTTTGATGCGATTTTGGGAGAGTCTTTGGTTGCAAACTCATCTGCTCCCATTGTTTTCGGGTGAGAGCTTCTTCTAATCAAACACTGGCTCTGTGTTTGCATGAAAATGTATGGTAGATTAAAGGTCTTAAACTTTGTTCATGATTTTCTTCTATTTGCAACAGCTGTAGTACCTACCAATCTGGGGACTTGACAAAGTCAGACAAAGCAGTCGATGGTATATTTGGTTTTGGCAAGGGAAAGTTGTCCGTTGTTTCTCAATTGTCGTCAAGAGGGATTACGCCGCCAGTGTTTTCTCATTGCTTGAAAGGAGATGGTAGTGGAGGTGGTGTCTTTGTCCTTGGCGAGATATTGGTCCCAGGAATGGTTTACAGTCCTCTCGTTCCATCACAGTAAGCTCACGAATCCTTCTTTTTAATTTTTCACTCTTAGATTGTTTCTTTGATTGTATTATGCTGGCACAACCTGAAACTGTGATAAGTCTGTTTTTTAGTCTAATGCATAAGCATTATATGTAGCGGAGGTGGTTTGTAGTGGATTGTAGTTGTGTTGACAGCTCAGCAACAATCGATGAGTTGATTAACTAGAGAGCTAACGGGTTAAATAGGAAATTGGCACTTGGCAGAATCAGCTGGGGGATTCTGAATTATTCTAGGATTTGAGATTGGGATTTGGGTTGAGACTAGAGTTTTTCTCGTTAAAGAAGTCTCTCTGTAATGTGTATTAAATTGAATACAGGAGTTAACCAGTTTCAATCATAACAATTTATTGCCTCCCGATTGAGTCAATCTTTTGCTGCTCCAACTGGCTCTAAAATTGTTGAGTGGCATGTGATACTAATAAGAATCTGTTTTATCTTTTGATTACGTACTACAGGCCTCACTATAACTTAAATCTGCTGAGCATTGGCGTGAATGGACAGGCGCTACCCATCGATGCAGCGGTGTTTGAAGCATCAAATACCCGTGGAACTATTGTTGACACAGGAACCACTTTGACATATCTGGTGAAAGAGGCTTATGATCCTTTTCTCAATGCTGTAAGTTGTGTATATCTTGTGTGTTTTGCATGAGGTTGTGACTTTCACATCATAATGGTTTTTGTTTCGTATCTGCAGATATCAAACAGCGTGTCACAGTTGGTAACACCGATCGTTTCTAATGGAGAGCAGTGCTATTTGGTCTCGACTAGGTATGTCTCCTCATCTATAACTGCAATGTTCAAATCCTTTTCTCTCTAGATCAAAAGTTAATGGGAGAGATGTGTTGGTTCTGTGTGTTTGTGCAGCATAAGTGACATGTTTCCTCCAGTTAGTCTCAACTTTGCTGGTGGTGCATCAATGATGTTAAGACCTCAGGACTACTTATTTCATTACGGTTTCTATGTAAGCTCTTCTGCTTGTTATATATACATAAAACTAGTAAAACTAAAATAGTCTGGCTTTTAAATGTAATCTTCTTACTTGGTCTCTCCTATCATAACAGGATGGTGCGTCCATGTGGTGCATTGGTTTTCAGAAGGCTCCGGAAGAACAAACCATTTTAGGAGGTCAGACACTGAGCTTTAAAAACGGATGATTACTGACTCATCTTGTTTCAACAGTGTTTATATATCTGTCCTGTTTTGTTTTGCAGATCTTGTACTTAAAGACAAAGTCTTTGTGTATGATCTTGCTCGGCAACGGATTGGATGGGCAAACTATGATTGTAAGTATAAATAAACTTATAGTCATGACATTTAAGGAACTCTAGTCATTGGTTATCTTCATCTGAACTTAGGAAAACTTGTATTTCGTTTTTGACAGGTTCGATGTCTGTGAATGTATCGGTAACTTCAGGAAAGGATATTGTAAACTCAGGCCAGCCATGTTTGAACATCTCAATAAGAGACATACTCTTAAGATTCTTCTTTAGCATCTTAGTGGCTTTACTTCTTTGTATTTTCTTCTCCTTGACGTAAATTTATAGAATTTGTGGGTTTGTTTTAGGGTAGTGTAGGCTGATTTTGTTGTGTTCCTTTTGATTCTTTTCACCATTATCCTCGTGTAGCCTCGCTTACAGTAACTAGTATAGTGCCTTTTAATTGTAGATCAGTCTCATTGTGAAGGAAATATGGTTACTTGTAACTATAATACTGCAGGCCTAAAACGACAATTACTAAAGCAAATCAGTTTAGTATAAAAAAAAAAACCAATCCAAAACTTTAGTTAAAACTGAATAATTTTCTATAACACGTTTTATGAGATTAAAATAGTCGCATAAGGGTAATAATGTCTTATTTCGAAATGTGACAAATATTCAGATTACTTTTACAAAAATATCCCAAAAAAAAAATCATCTAAACGAAACGGCACGAGTCGCGACGAAACGGCACCAGAACAAAACGCTAGCGAACGGACTAATATAAAAGCTCAGGAGAGAACAAACGTAACGGCCTCGTTTCGCGATTCTTGTCATCATCTTCTTTCTTTCACTCTCTCTCTCTCTCTCTCTTTCTTTCTTTCTTTCTTTCGTCGTTTAGTGCATTTGTGTTTCCTCAGAGGAATCAGAGCAAAAATGGCGACTATTCACGCTGCATTATCTGCGGCGGATGCTTCTTCTTCGGGATCGAGTTTTCCAGTGACGGCGTCGCTATACGTCGGAGACTTACACCCTAACGTCACCGAAGGTATACTCTACAACGCGTTCGCCGAGTTCAAGAGCTTAACTTCTGTTCGTCTCTGTAAAGACGCTTCTACTGGCCGCTCTCTCTGTTATGGCTACGCTAACTTTCTCTCGCGTCAAGACGGTATACTCTTCTTCCATCTCTTCGATTTCGTTTGGATTTTAGGTTATTGTTAGGTGTTTCGTTGATTATCTTCGTTTTTGTATCATGTTTCGCTTATTGCTCACTTGGATTGATGATAATCGGTGAAGAATCTGTGTTTATTTGTCCGATTTTCCCGGGAAAATGTTACTTTCTTCTCCAATCCTTACTTATTCATGCACTTCTACGGATTTCTATTTGATTTGTTGTGAAACGGAGACGGATCTTTGTTGTAAACTGATCACGCCTTTGATTTCTGATATTTTCACTGAGATTTACGTTTGATTGGTGCATTTTGTTTAAAGAACCTGATGTTGAACTTCAAAGATGTTAGTGACAGTATCTTTAGGCTTGATTAAGATATTGCTTGATAGTATCTCTTCCTTCAATTGTGCAGCTAACCTTGCCATTGAGAAAAAGAATCACAGTTTGTTGAATGGAAAAATGATTCGAGTAATGTGGTCAGTTCGAGAGCCTGACGCTAGGAGAAATGGGGTTGGAAATGTCTTCGTTAAGGTAGTTCTCTAACTCAAATATTTTCATTGTCTGATTAAATGTTGTTGATGGTGACTATCGTTTTTATATGGTTAGAATTTGCCTGAGACAATCACCAATGCGGTTCTGCAAGATATGTTCAAGAAATTTGGGAACATTGTTTCCTGTAAGGTTGCAACTTTTGAAGATGGAAAGAGTCGGGGATATGGTTTTGTTCAGTTTGAGCAAGAAGACGCTGCACATGCTGCTATTGAGAACTTGAACAGTACCACTGTTGCTGGCAAGGAGATGTAAGACTTTCCTACTCATTGGTTCCAAGATTTGTGTCTTTGGATTACGTTTAGATTAGATACCTGCCTCTACCATTATGTTTTACCAATGGTTTCCAAATCTGAATCTGTGGAATTTTTTGATGCAGCTATGTTGGAAAATTCATGAAAAAGACTGATCGAGCGAAACCTGAGGAAAAGTACACAAACGTGTACATGAAGAATCTCGATGCAGATGTCAGTGAGGATCTTTTAAGGGAAAAGTTTTCAGAGTTTGGGAAAATTGTTAGCCTAGCAATTGCAAAGGATGAGAATGGAGTATGTAAAGGATATGCATTTGTCAACTTTGACAAACCAGAGGATGCAAGACGGGCAGCAGAAACAATGAATGGAACACAATTTGGTCTGATGGATCTGTTTCTTTTCTGAGATAATAAAACTGCCTTATGTTTTGCAATGTTATTTAACCCTTTGTTTCTTCTTGATAGGTTCAAAGTGCCTATATGTAGGAAGGGCACAGAAGAAGGCAGAACGGGAGCAACTGCTAAGGGAACAATTTAAAGAGAAACATGAAGAACAAAAGATGAAAGCTAAGGTATTTACCGTAGAGTAAAGCCTTTGTTAGTTTGATATGATATTATTCCGATGGTTGACTGTTCCTAATTCTTAATTGAAGGTGTCAAACATATATGTGAAAAACATCAATGTTGGTGTTACTGAGGAGGAGCTGAGAAAACACTTCAGTCAATGTGGCACAATCACTTCGACAAAGTTGATGTGTGATGAGAAAGGAAAAAGCAAGGGATTTGGATTTGTATGCTTCTCAACACCTGAAGAAGCTATTGATGCTGTGAAAACCTTTCATGGTAAGCCGCAGGATCATAATTTATTGGTACATAATGGATTTATGACACAGCTCTTAGTTCATCTTATCATATGATTATTTTTATGTTTCGTAGGGCAAATGTTTCATGGGAAACCACTATATGTGGCTATTGCTCAAAAGAAAGAGGACAGGAAGATGCAGTTACAGGTTCAATTTGGGAACCGTGTGGAAGGAGGAGGAAGTAGCTCTTCAGCTTCTGTCATACCAGGGACATACGCTCCACTCTACTATACAAACACTCATCCCGGGATGTTATATCAATCATACCCCCCAACGTGGAAGTCTGCTAACATGATCAGTTCATCATACCCTAACTCTCAAGCACTCACATGTCCTTCTGTGGTATAGATTTATATGATTACTATATATCGAAAGAATATTCATTATGATAATGTTTGACACAAAGATCTCTGGTAGGTTGCCAATGTGCCAAGAAAGACTAAGCAGAACAGAAAAGGAAAGTTAGATAGGAATGCTGTTTCGTATGTGCCAAATGTGTATCAGTCTACTCAAATGCTTCCTTTGTCAAGAGATTTTTCGAACCAGCAGGTATTTGGTTTTCTTATTACCTTATACCTTGTGAGATGGTTCAAGTTATAACTTTTTTAAAGCATATGCAGCTTAACAGAACCTATGGTCGTGGGAAAGAAATGAAGAAACCAATCCAACAAAGACAGTCTGAAGCAATTGAGATGGAGAAGCAATTGCTCGGAGAGCTGCTCTACCCTCTTGTGGAGAAACTCGAGGTCGGTGTTCTTGAATTTGATCCTTATGTAACTATTTACATTCTATTTGTTATATTGATTAACACTAGATCTATATTCAGTGACCTTACGTATCATTCTTTTGCAGCCTCAACTTGCTAACAAAATCACAGGGATGCTTCTGGAAATGGACAAGTCGGAATTGCTTCTTTTGCTGAAATCACCAGAAGAATTGGCTGTTAGAGTGGAAGAAGCGTTTGAAGTTCTGAAATCAGCCAAGACAAATCTGCCCAGTGCTAACACTCTTCGTTCTGATTACTTGGCGTCAGGCATTTCTGGTGTTTCGATTAAGTGAAGGACAAAATGGAAGAAAAATAACTAGTGACCTCGGTTGCTACTTGCAACACAAACTCTTGTGGGATTCTTTTGTTTTTTTTTTCGGTATTAATTCTTGGATTGGTATTCTAGTTTGGTGCTATTGTCTTGTGTGAAATACATTTTCATAAATGATTTCAATTACTATGGTAATTGTGGAGAAATGATGAAATATTCATGATCAGGCTTCTTTTGTAAAGCAATGCTATTACACACTAGAACAAGACCTTTTTGAATGAAATAATATTCGTTCTTCCTCAGCTTCCGCTGTCAAAGAGTGCCTTCCGAAACATCTTTCCTCTGCTTTTGATTTTCCCTTCTCATTTCCTTCAACCCACTTCTTCAGCTTCTTAATCAACCTCTTCCTCCGCGAAGATTCATGATGATGACACTCTTTATGTTGCTCATCACCTACCCTCATCAATGCCAGAGCATCATCCGCTTGATCGTTCTCCAAACCCATCTCTTGCAAGTTTCCGTTTGGAGAAAACTCGATTTCCCCAAAGTTAGCTCTATTTCTCATTACCTCGTGTCTCAAACAAGCATTGCTCCATCTCAGGTTGATCACTTCCTTCACTCCATTTGCATAATCCTTCTTCAATTCCTCGTACTCTTCTACTACCCTTCTATAATCTTCTACACTCACCATCTTCTCAAAACGAAAAAAGTGTCAATCAACATAAAATAAACTAAATCATTAAATCTAGAATCACAAAATTCAATACTGACCTCTGATGTTGAATTTGAAAACTTCATGAATAATTCTTCCTTTTCCTCTTGCAGCACATCAACGTAAGCTTTCATGTCTTCAACTTCACCTTCAAGTTCCTTCACAATGTAATTCTTCGTCTCCAATTCATCAAACTGCTTTGATCTTCTCCTAAGCTTCTTTGCTTTCCCCTCAAGCAACCTATTCTCTGAGCTCAAGTCTTGGATTTCTCCCACCAGTTTGAGATACACTATCACCAAATCTTGTCCCCTCTTGTGTTCTTCCTCCATCGCTAAAACTTCTTTACGGAAGAAATCTAATTGAGATTTCTCAAGACTCAACATGTTTTTATGCTCCATAAGCATCACTTCTTGATCTTTCAAGTTGCAAAACCGCTCGAAATGCAACTCCATCTCGTATTCCTTCCTTTGAAGCTCCTCGAATCTGGATTTTAAGCCTAGAATTTCTTGCTTCTGATGATCCATGCTCTCTCTTTCTTCTTCCTCATCGTTTCTTCTGCTAGGTGATGAAGAAGACTCTGGATTTCTTGTAGAAGAAGTTATCTCATTATCTTCATTCCGAGACACAAACCTAGCCAAAATCAAACCAGTTGCTGATAATACAATGGCAACACAAACTCTCAGAATCACCGGCTTCATAGCTCCTCCATCTCTTGGACCTGAACCATCCATGAATCTCTTCTCTTGCTTTCAACTCCAAAGTCTTTCTTTCTAACTATAAAATAATCCTTTCGGTTATATGATCGAAACACAGACTAGAGAATTGATTGATCAATCTTGTGAGGGTTTGATCAAATTTAAATGGTTTATTATACGAATCATGGTCTTTTTAAAATATTTATATACTCCTCTTTTGTTGTGGAGGAGACATGTCTTGTAAGATTATTCTTTTCCCTTGCCTTTTTATTGAGTTTTAAATAAGAAAATTAACAGAGATCGGTTGCTTTTTGACCATTGCTTTTGCTTGCTTACTCGTTTGGGCATCGGATTCTCCACTTACACGACATACGTGTGTACTCATACTCACACGTACCTACATGTTATGAATGCTAATGCTATGCTGCTAGCTAGGAGTTTCATATTATTATATGGTCGATCAAATCGAAACTCAAACTAAATTTTTCTGATTTGATCTGATCTAACTATATCATACTAACGAAAAAACATGTAGAAAACGTGACCGATTTGGATGATTCGGGATCAAATGCGCGTCACAATGCTGTCGGGGAAATAATAAAAAATGACGTACCTAATTATGTATAAAACTACTCTATGTGAGAACATGATTAACGTGATTACTTTTTTGACAAAAAAGGTTAACGTGATTAATTCAGATATATACTCTGTGTCTACACCGTACTAACTTGAATTAAGTAAAAAATTAGAGAAAATTTGAAAATAAAATCCAAACTATTCGAATGAACTTGTTTGTACCCTTCCAAGAACCGTAAAAATGGTATTTGATAACCGACTTAATCAATGTTCGGCTCTATCCAATGCAAACTTGCATCCTTGTTTCTCTAATGCTTGTTTCCAAGTTATTGCCTCAGTAATTTTGATGTCTTAGCAACATTGGATGGAAAATTTAGCAACATTGCCTCTGTAATTTCCAAGATATGATACCGTTGGAAATTTTGTTCTTGCCATTTTTCTTGATATCCTTCCGATTTATTCTTGATTTAAAATTTAATCGAATATTAGTTTGCATTATCCAATAGTTTTTTTTTTTTTTTTGTTAAAGGCATTATCCAATAGTTGGATATATGACCTGTTTCTAAAATATTTTTAAAGATAACATAAAAAAGATAAACCAAATTCTAAAAAAGTGTATTTATTTATATATTAACAGTCGATCGTTACACACCTATATGTATATGTTTTAGTCTTTTAGAGCAAATAACAAATTAAATCTTAGAATCTAGCAATCACGAACCGTATGTTCATGATCGAAATGTGATACAATAAAATAAGAGAACATTCACCATTTCACCTCACATTTTAATTTCCTCGAGCAGCTCAAATTCTGATATCAAAGATTTATTAAGACCGACCATCGATACTTGCTTGCTTATGTCTTAACTCTTAAGTCATGCTATGAACACTCAAGAATCAAGATCCATGCATGAAAAGTCCACGTGTCATAGTACATTCGTAGAAGATGAAACTAAGTAAATTGTACGTGGCAGCTGTTGTGTCCTCCTATCTACCACGTGGCATCTCAACAGAAACAGAGCATTACTATAAGAAGCAACAAAAGCAGCTCAACTGACAGCACAAACAAGAAAGATTCTAAAATCGCAAAATTTTCGAACTTAGGTTTTCTTAAATTTTCAAGCAATCGAGGAAAAAGCAATGGCGTCAGACCAACAAAAGGCGGAAAGAGCTGAGGTTGCGGCGAGGCTCGCGGCTGATGACTTGCATGACATTAACAAATCTGGTGGTGGTGATGTCACATTGTATAAGGTGAAGGAGAGAACAACGGAACATCCACCGGAGCAGGAGAGGCCCGGTGTGATAGGATCGGTGTTCAGGGCTGTCCTAGGAACCTATGAGCACGCTAGAGACGCTGTGGTTGGAAAAACCCACGATGCGGCTGAGTCGACCAAAGAAGGAGCTCAGATAGCCTCAGAGAAAGCGGTTGGAGCAAAGGATGCAACCGTCGAGAAGGCTAGGGATACAGCTGATTATACGGCGGACAAGATGGGTGAGTATAAAGACTACACGGTTGATAAAGCTAAAGAGGCTAAGGACAAGACTGCGGAGAAGGCAAAAGAGACCGCTAGTTATACCGCGGATAAGGCGGTGGAAGCAAAGGATAAGACAGCGGAGAAGATGGGTGAATATAAGGACTATACGGTGGATAAGGCAGTAGAAGCGAAGGATAAGACAGCGGAGAAGGCGAAGGAGACTGCGAATTATACGGCGGATAAGGCTAAAGAGGCCAAGGACAAGACTGCTGAGAAGATGGGTGAGTATAAGGATTACACGGTAGAAAAGGCCGCGGAAGCCAAGGATTACACGGCAGAGAAGGCTATTGAAGCAAAGGATAAGACAGCGGAGAAGACCGGAGAGTATAAGGATTATACGGTGGAGAAGGCGACTGAGGGAAAAGATGTTGGGGTGAGTAAGCTTGGAGAGTTGAAGGATAGTGCGGTGGAAACAGCAAAGAGAGCTATGGGTTTCTTGTCTGGGAAGACAGAGGAGGCCAAAGAAAAAGCTGTGGAGACCAAAGACACTGCCAAGGTATAGTTTCTTCTTCATATAAATGAAGAGTATAGATGTCAATATATATGGTTAATATAACATGGTTGTTTGATAACATAGGAAAACATGGAGAAAGCTGGAGAAGTAACCCGACAAAAGATGGAGGAGATGAGATTGGAAGGTAAAGAACTCAAAGACGAAGCTGGAGCAAAAGCCCACGAGGCATCTCAAAAGACTAGGGAGAGTACTGAATCGGCTGCTGAAAAAGCCCAAGAGACCAAAGATTCTGCTGCCGTTAGGTAAATCAAGAAATGCCAATTTTGTTATAGCTTGTCATGTTCTTTAAGTTCGAAGGTAACGGTTTAAATTAACTATTTGGTTTTTGATGTGATTATATCATATAGGGGCAATGAAGCAAAGGGGACTATACTTGGTGCATTAGGGAATGTAACGGAAGCCATAAAGAGCAAACTGACGATGCCATCAGACATTGTGGAGGAGACACGAGCGGCACGTGAGCATGGAGGGACGGGTAGGACGGTGGTTGAAGTCAAGGTCGATACAAAGCCGAGTAAGGTGGCGACTTCACTGAAAGCGTCGGATCAAATGACCGGTCAAACATTCAACGATGTTGGACGGATGGATGATGAGGCTCGGAAAGATAAGGGAAAGCTGTGAGATACGACATGTGTTTTGGGTCTTTGTTTTCTATGGATGGATATGTTTGTTGTAGCAGATAAACATTTTCAAGATAATTTCTAATTTCCGTGTTTGTATTCTTATTTTGGAAAAGAGAAGCTTTCTATTTATGCTTATTATGCACCTTTTTTAATACTAGTTTCTTAAAAAAAATTGTGACTTAAAATCATGGGAGCGAATTCTCGTGGCTTTTAGAGGATTGGTTGTTATGCTAAATCACTCTCGAGTAAAAACTCTGTTTTTCAGTTACTAGCGGTTTCCATAAGTTTGAGCTACAAGACTATATATATTTGGGTCTCTATATCTATAAATAACAATATTTGAGAAGTGTTTTTGCTGACGTGTCGGACTCTCAGCTCTTGTTGAGCCCTTGATTTTGCGTAATTACTTAAATACCCTCTATTAAATTAATTCTAATATTAATTAATATTAAAATAAATAACTGACCCTAAAATATAAATATTCGATATATTTTACATTTTAAAAAATAGTATTATTCTTAAACACGAAAAAATGAAAAAAAAAAAAAAATTTGGATCAAATGTAGTTTACATACCTTTTTTTATGACGGTTTATCGTTCGACCAAGAACATCCAATGACCACCAAGAACTTGTTACCCTACCATAAAACATATATTCATAGCAATAACAGAAATTTGGCAATTTAATGATAGAAAACCACCTTTTGATCTGTTGAGTCATCATAGAAAACCATCATATTGGCCATCCTTTGTCTTTAAACCATCATATTGATATGATCTTGCATCCTACAATTGCAACCAATCAAACAAACTATTCTTTTTAATTACCTTAGATGATAAAGAGACTAATGAGTCTCGTGGGAAAGATTTTCAGGATATTCGTTTTGGAGCATGCTCAAAATCGACAGGTATATTAATCTCCACCAATCTAATCATGGTCGTGAGTCACATACAATTACGTCGGAGAAAGGATTGGCCGTGTCTTCTTCTTTTCTCTTCCTTTTCCGTGTTTTTTTCCTTTTTGGTTCTTTTTGTTTTTTTTTTCAACAAAAGATGTGTCTCATAATTAATCGTTTAATTATATTTTTGATATATTAATGATAAATTTATGTTGTGATAATTACGAGCCAATTGTTTTTAAAAGTAAAATTTACTTTTCTAAAATATATAGATATTGCCGATAATATCAAAACAACTATCATATATTCTTTAAATTCACAAATCTGATAGAATAAAAGAAACTTTCTTTTATATTTTATACCGATAATGATGGTGTATCTAGACGAAAAAAAAAAATGATGGTGTATCTAAATAAATGTCAAATATAATTGTAAATCTAATAAAATTATGTTATTGTTTCATTTTTAACAAATAAAATAAGGAATATTTCTTTATAATTAATATCCATAGTAGTTATTAATTTTTTTTAGGAATATTAATTGTTTTGATAAAGATTCGAATTGTTTTGATAAAGATTCGATCTAACAGAATATATAAATCTTCCTTTCTTGTTGTTGTAATTATCTTCAAAAATTAAAAAATTTAGATCGTACACCGCCTTTCAGTTTAATATAAATACCTTCTCTAGGTTTCACTTTCAAATCATAACTAACCCCATTTTTTTTGCTTTCTATTTTTTTTTTTTTGGCGTTTTATTTTATTTGGCTTTACACATATTAATTCATGGTGTTTATGTATGGTTATAGGTTACGGATGCAACGTCGTTAAACAATTCCAGGACAATTAAATTGCTGATTCAATCGAACATATGGTGAGTTATTCACTTTAGTACTTTCATGTTTAATATTTAAATTATGCTTAGATTTCATATTCTTCACTAAAAAAAAAAGAAGCTTTGATTTTGTATTTACCATATTCTTCACTAAAAAAAAAAAGAAGCTTTGATTTTGTATTTACATAATTTGATATCA